CCCGTCTTTACTAAAAATAGAAAGAAATTATTTGGACAACTAAAAATATATAGAAAAAATTAGCCGGGCATGGTGGCGCATGCCTGTAGTCCCAGCTACTCGGGAGGCTGAGGCAGGAGGACTGCTTGAGCTCAGGAGTTTGAGGTTGCTGTGAGCTAGGCTGACGTCATTGCACTCTAGCCCGGGCAACAGAGCAAGAATGTGTCTCAAAAACAAAAAAAATCTAATTTAAAAAGCCACGTTTTTCTTGTCATTTTCATTACTCATTTCTTTCCTAAGAAAGTAATGTTTAATCCCATGGGCCAGCAATAGCCAAAATAGACACAGTACAAGAGTTGTGCTTTACAGCCTTTTTCTTGTTTTTTTTTTTTTTTTCCTCCTCTAGAGTTAAACTGTAGCATGTTAGTTAGAAATAGTGGACCATAGAATTCTGCAAACCTGAGTTCAAATTCCGGCTCTACCGTTTACTAGAGAAATCGTATTTCCTTGCCCCAGTGATTTCACGCTCTCTCAGCCTGTGCTTTTCCGTCCGTGAGACGGTCGCGGCAGTAACCCCTGTGTCCTAGCTTGGTTCTGGGGGTGAAATGAGACGGCGCACAGTCCTGGCACACTGGAAGTGCTCGAAAAACGCCAGTAATGGTGGTGATTGATGTTATCAGTATTTTTGGTCATGAGTTTTGTTTAAGGCTTCGGGCCTGTAGAATTTGGGCTAATTATCCTATCTGCAATCAAACACAGAGAAAATTTGCCAGAGTTTTCGGCGGCACCTCTGGTTTCTGCTTGTGATATCCCAGAGCTTTCACAGCAGGGCAAGTACTCGGACTGCAACGGCCAGCGAGCAAACCCTAATCTTAAAAAAAACCCAGACCACCCAATTTCAAGCTAATTTCAGACTGGCAGAAAAGCCTAGTAGTGCAGGGAGTTTGCACATGTGTGTCGCCCGGCATCTCGCAGGCCCACAGCGCAATCCTCAGGACTAGGAAGTTAGCGCTGGCAGAGCACTGCTAAACTGCAGGCCTTATTCAGATCTTACCGGTTTTTTACATTAATGTCTCCTTTCATGCCCGGACCCTATCCAGGACCCTGTCCAGGACTCCGCATCGCACTTAGTCATCATTTTTCCTTTGTCTCCCGCAGCCTAAATCCGTTCCTCAATCTTTCCCATCTCTCGTGACTTTGGCACTTTTGAAGAGTAGCGATCGCTTGTTTGGTTGAATGCCTCTCGGTTTGGGTCTGTCTCATGTTTTCTTGTGATCGAACTGCATTTTTGGCAAGAATACCAAGAAACGTTGCGTCCTTCTTAGTGCTAATACGTCAAATCGCATGGTTCATGGTACGAACATTGAGGATGTCTTAAACCTGGTAATATCTCATTACTGGTGATAGTGACCTTGGTTACGTGGTTAAGGCGTTTTCTGCCTGGCTTCTCTACTCCAAAGCGATTATCTTTTCCTTTGTGGTTAATAAGTATCTTGGGGGAGATGCTTTGAGACTGTGTAAATCCCGTTCCTCCTCAAACTAGAAATCAGTGCTACGTACTAATTTTAGCGTTTGTCGGTGGATCTGTCTGCAACAGTCATTACAGTGGCGTTTGTCGAATGGTGCTTTTCTATCTCTTTCCTTTGTGAACTGTGATTCCACCGTAAGGAAGAGCTGTCCTTTCTCCCCAGTTCATTACTTTGATTGCTTATTTATTTATTTTAGCACGAACTCACGAGTGAGTTTTGTTCTTCGGGCTGTCATCCAATACCATCATTATTCATTTTTTTGCTTCAGCGGTTCAGTCCCAGCAAGCCAGAGTTTGTTCAGTTTATTCTGCTTGCTCCCTTCTTTTCTTTCAGTGGGATACTTGAAAAGTCAGCATAGTTCTGACCCGGTGGGTAAACAGAACTACGCTTCCTAATTTAAAGATCTCCAGAGGAGAAGCACCCCCACTTCCTTCGCCGCCATTCCAGTGTTGGAATTCATGTGGCTCAGGAATGTTCTTTTTGAAACAAATCATGTTTCTTTTAAAATTTATTTGTTCTTGTTCCACTCCTAGTAGAGACAAAAAAGGGTTTGGGGTGTATATCATGGCATATTGGCGTTGAAATACGCCTGGGATCAGTTAGATACAAACCGAGACGTTCTAGGCCTGCTTTTTCCACGGTTCGCTCTGTTTCCTACCATCCTGTTTTGGGAAGTCAGCCTTTGGTTATCCTCACTGACAATCTCCAGCGAGTCTTAAAACTTACGCAGCCTCTTGAGTAAGAACCGGTGCATACTGATTCTGGTATTACCTGTTTTCAGGTTTTTTGACCTCGCACCCAGGAGACCAAAGGATCATGGCAGCGTGAGGCAGACGCAGGGCTGCCCTGCCTGCCTGAACCCCCGGCAGGGAGCTGCAGGGGCTGCCACCGACACTTGTCTGCCGGTGGTTCTCACACCGTTTTTCCTTTTTTTTTTTTTTTTACTTTGGTTAACCCAAGCAGGTCAAAAGACCTACTGCACCCATTCCCGCTTTATGGGGAGAAAGAGATTGACGATAGCAAAGATTTGGAGAGGAATAACATAGCGATCAAAATGGTGATATGGCAGCAGTTACATAAAAACAAAGGGGCGGACAAGGAAAACCAAACGTACCTTAGTACAAGAACAGCAGCTCAAGACCAACTCAAGATGCGTCTGACGACGGCCTGCTCACGGAGAGTCTTTCCTGAAATCTGAGAACTCCCGCCGCCTGCCTGTGTGGGGACACGGAGGGGCCGTGCTGGCGCCACAGGCTGCCTGGCTCTCTGCTTCTCGGAATACTGAATTTGAGCCCCAAGTCAACTCCAGGTATCTGGTAATTTTAGGTTACAAATGCCAAAACTTATAGCGCCCGGTGGCTCAATCGGTCGGCCATTAGTCAGTACCATTCAACCATATGTAAAAATGGAAGCCAACAGCATTGCTTTGAAGATGGGCTTTTTTGCACGAGTTTGCAGCCTCTCTCAGGGGACCCTGTCATTCTATCGCTTTCCACAGTGAAATCTCACAGACGGACGGTGCAAAGGGGAGAGGAAAAGGGGAAGCCAAAACGTAAGAATAACAGTCTCCAGGAAGCGGCGTAGGGAGCTCCCAAGGAATCAACTTCCCTGCCCCAGGCCCTGGAGGTGGACAAGGACCAAAGAAATAGAACCCACCCTAGAATCTCTGCTTCACCTTCCTTTGCTCTCCTGTGTCCTGTCAGGCACATTTCCACACTGCGACGACCTCATTCGCCGTCCTCCCGCCCCGAGGAACCCCTTCTCACCGACCGCCCAGCCCAGCCTCTCTCCGCCTGGCTCAGTCCCGTAAGACTTCCCTGCTCACTGCCAGTAGTTCCTTGAGCGCAATGACAGCTGCCATTTCAGGGCTTGCTGTGGTGACTGCCTTAGTCCAGATCCCAAGCTAGAAAGCGCTGGAAGCAGGACTCAGCAGGTCTCCACTGCCCTGCGGGTCAGCAGGTGGCCGGCCGAGGCTGCCTGGGCTCTGCCCTCAGGCTAGTGAATGGCCCCCACACGCCACAGCTGCCCGAACTCCCTTGGAACCCTCTGCCTCGCATCTGGCCACCGACTGCTTCACGCACCGCGGGCTTGGGGCTCTGCTTTGTTTTAAACCTTGAAACTTCCTTTGCTCTCTTGATTTAAAAAATCATTTTTAAAAATTCTAGCTTATCATTTAAAAATTCAAACCAGGGCCGGGCGCGGTGGCTCACGCCTGTAATCCTAGC